TCAACATCTGCAAGGACCAGATTATGACCCTTGACTATGACAGTGGTCAAGCATTACAACAGGCTACCTAGAAAAGTTCTGGATCTCCATCTCTGAACATTTTCAAGAGCAGATTAGACAGACCCTTGGCTAGAATGGTTTGGTCAGGGATGACCTTGCCTTGAGCAAGGGGCTGGACTAGATGACCTTGTGAGGTCCCTCCCAACCCTGGTTGTACAGGCTGGAGTCTACAGCCTGTCCAGCCTTTCGGAGATTCTTTTGGTGAGTCGTATTACTTTCAGGGGAAGCACTCAGTTGTTCAGTTGTGGTAGGCCCAAGCCTATAGTTAGTCTGTGCACGCAGAGTTCCTTTGACTTTGGTGATACCCCATGCAGGAGGCCACCTGTAACCACTTCTTCAATTGAACAATATGAAAGTAATAACATTACATAGTCAGTAACAGCATTCATGGGGTGGGGACAGTCCTAACATTTGAAACATTTAAAAAATGGAGCATTTCAGTCATGTACAGAAGTACAGTCTATGGCAGGTCTCTCTCCCTCTCCTGTTCCTCCCTGCTGAAGCACTTCAAAACTGCTGTGGCTGCTCTCCAGCAAAGGGAGGTAGATATGACAGAAGGATGCAGCAACTTGCAGCTCTGTTCCCTGTCAGACGTAGTGGGGGAAGCAGAGTGGAGAAGCCCCTGGTTTTCCAGGGTCTGTGGCTCTTCACTCCCCTAATGGCACAGGGCATGAAGCCAATGTCAGTGAGTGCTCTCCTGCTCACTTTATCTCCACTGTCCTGGAATGTCCCTGCAATGTCCTCCAATCTCCCAGGTCCAGCAGGTGGGGAACTCCAGGAGAGTGCTCACTGTGGGGTGAGCACTCAAATGTAACAGGAAACTTTTCATTTGGAAGTGCTCTAAAGAGTACCTGTTCCCTTGAGGGCCAGTTTTAGAGTGCTCCAAAGGGTGTGGACATCTGTAGAGTTGTGCAGATGTACACATCCATTGAGGTGCTTCAGACATTACATCTGCCCCCGCCCTCAGATAGCAACTGTGTAAGTGACTCTTGCAGAAGGATTTGTGTACAAAAACTGATCTGTGTGAGCGACAGAGGTTTTGGCATATTTGCCAGAGATGCCAGCAGTCTGTCAATACTGTATTTACTTGCATACCACGTATACCCTTTCCCCCAAAAAATTACCCCTCCAAACTTGGGGCAAATGTCTTAAGCAAGGAAGCTGATTTGCACACCAGAATGGAGGAACAGGGATGCTGGAATAGATGCTGGGGGCTGTGCTCCTTCAGCTGCATGAAGGAGGGACAGATTCTACCCATCAACATCACTCACCTTCTTGTCACTCACTGTCTCCCTTCAGCTCCACCACTTGAGGTTTTAACCCTCTCTCAGCCACTGTCAAATTGGCAGTAGCTTTTGGCTGAGCAGCCCATTTGGTACCAACTGTGAGAAGGTTAAGCTTCTAGTGGTGGAGCTGCAGTGAGAAGTTGAATGAGGCTGATGAGTTAACTTTGCTGCTCCTCCATGTGGCCCAGGAATCCAGTCATGGTGCACCCATGCTCTGTCAAGTGAGATTGGGATGGGGGTGGGGTGGAAATGTCTTCATTCTGTCTTCCCAGAGCAAGGTGCGTGTGTTTTTTTTCAGCAGTGTGGTATGTGAGGAGACAGCGATTCTAGCTCTCCCAGGTCTTATAACTCCATTTATGTTTCAGTATCCTGGCCAGTTTTGCTGTGGCAGCTGCTGAGTTGTGTACCCATTTCTTGGCTTGAGGATCTGAAGGATAGGAGGTCAGCTTAGCCCTCTTCTCTCCCATACATCTGTACTTTCCTTGGTTTTGTCCCTGCAGAGGGGACTAACATACAACATCTCTGTAAGAGTAGAAGAGTTACCACCTGCTTGGTTTAAAAGTAATATCCACTGGCCAAGTTGTGCAGAGAGGGAAGCATGGTTATAGGTACAAATCTGATTTTTTGGTTTAGCCCAATTTCTAGCAAAGATGTAACCTGACTTCCATATATCATGACCATTTTGTCCACAAAATGCGTATCTAATTTTAAACGGTTTGACCCTGACTACAGTACTCTTTTCCCTTTGTCCCTTCTGTCCAATTTTTGAATCCACTGTTACCTCCCTTGTTCCTCTCCCTCTCTCCCCTATGTTCAACCCCCTATTAATTTATTTTTCCATTATTCACCCTTTCCGTGAACTTCTTAGGACTAAGGCTGCAATAGCTGGTGCCTTTCTCATCTTCCACACTTAGGTGGTAACTGTTTTGGAGAAGAACCAGGTAGGAAGGGGACTCTGAGGCCTTCTCTCTGTTTTTGAGGTCAGTGGAACTCCTAACAAACAGACAGATACATATCTACGAGATCAGATTCCCTTTATAAATGAGTTGACAGTCTTGTTTTCATGATGTACTTTAATTCAGAAAACATACCTGACTTATAACTGAGGGGTAAATGGGAAAGTTTCCCATGCTTCAACCCTTCACGTTACCCTTTGCCTGCCCTTTGGCCACACTCCTCAGGGCCTGGATAAACCTACTTCTCTTGGATAGTGCCTACTGGAAATGAACATTGATAACAAAATATTATACTACACATGCAGCATGAAAAGCCTGAGACTTTGAGGGAATACTGAGCAATGCCACTATTGAGGCAATTCTTTTCCTTCAGTGGTTGAATCATCACTGGTTTTCTAGCTAAAAGGTTTCTGGGGTGTGTATGTGCCCATGCATCTGGGGGAAGTGGAGTGAGAGAACGTATTTTAAAGGAAGTTACAGGAGCAGGCAATGTTGTTTAGCTGTCAAGGGCAACGCAATGGAAGGTGTATTCCATTTGGACTCTTCAGGTAGACTTACAAAATGAGAAATTTTTCACAATTATATTTTCTGCAAGAAAATATGCTGAAACAGACACCTGGGAAGAGTTTAGTAAAATAGCTTATTTTTCTGTCAAGGGGAATGGCTGAATGTTTAGTTGTACATGCTTAGTGTTCTTTGCTCTGTTGGGTTTTTAAGATAGATCCTCTATTTTTAATGCACACAATCAGTATTCTTTTTTCTTCTCCCAGGGTTTTGTTCTAGCTCAGGGCAATGCGCGCTGTCTTTATTAACCCCAGAAGGCTGTGCAACTGCCTACTCAGTTTCTATGTCCCCCCATTACCTTGAACACACATGTTTACTCTGCATCTGTAGCAAAGGCCACTGCATTGTGGTAGAATCTCTGATATCATTTAATTGTATACTGTAGAGAGTTCAGTACAATTTTAAGTTCCTCAACACACAGCAGAGACAGTGAAACTGCGGTCCACATAGAGGAGGAGAAGGCACCTTTAAAAGTACCACGATCCTCAGTTGCATTTATGCCTTGTGGGGTTTCCTTATGTTGAGTTCTGTACGTGCCTTATTGGTGCTATACAAAAATGGATCTAAAAACTACGTGGAAGGTCAGTTAGGAGATCCAGAGATTAGAGTGAACATCTGCAGTTAAAGAAAATAAATGTGTATTTTTCTTGAGATATATTTTTAAGAACCACCCTTAAACAGTAGGGTACACAGTGCTATGTTTGCATCACAGAATGAGTCATTTCATGGTTATTGCTCAAGTATTTTATTGCGTAAATGTGTTTTCAATAGGACATTACTAGGTATAGGTTGTGGGTAACCAAGCATCAAAACATGGATCTGACAACTGCTTTTAATGACACCCAAGCCAGCTGCCTCTTAGTTCTTAGCTTACCAGAGTAGTCTAGTAATTTCCAAAGAGACCTTCTGCTAATCAGTGTAAGTCAGGATCTCTTAACCTGTCTTTATATTGGAATTTATTAGCTCTCCAAATTCTCATAAGCCTTCCTTTTTTTATATCGGTTTTTATTTTCATAGTCCAGAAGTGACAATTAGATGACCTGTTCAGGGTCTGATAGTCTGGTCTGTTGACAGGATGCTGTGGGCAAAGGAAAATCTGGTTCCTCTCCTGTGTTCTTTATTTGGGATGCTGTGGTTATCACATTTCCGCCAACTCCTATCCAAAAGATTTCTTTCAAGTGTGTTCCTAAACGTAAAAGCTTTCCCAGTTCCTCACCCACCTAAGGGAAATTGAAGTTTTAAAACTGAGATATTGCTGTTAATTCAATCAGAAGTGTTTTGACTTTTCTTTTTTAGTGCTGTTTCCTGTGATGTTTATATTCCAAGTAGTACTCTATTTTGAGTTTTATTAGTATTCATTCCATGTTCTGTTGAGTAATCTGCCATACATGGGACATTTTTATGCTGGGAACCATGGAAATAAAATACATTTGTTTTCATTAAAATGATCTTTTTCCATAACAAAACAAGTATGCCTATTAAACATTTACAGCAGTACAAACTGCTTAGTCTGAAGCAGGCCTTAAAATCTGTATGGGTGTTTGGTCACCTTGGACTTGGAAGAAAAAGGTTTTATATTTTGCAAATGTTTAAACAATCTGCCTTATAACAAAATCACTGTTGCACTGTTTTTTTTTTATTCTTCCAGGTTAATAAAACTTCAAGTCACTTCCGTTAACTAAAATTATTTTTCTTCTGATTCAAACTGCTGTCTAGAAACTACACAACTCATTCTGTACTTGGCAGCTAGTGGTTACTGCAGACTGTACTTCCTAGTTTCCCCAACCCCTTCATACATTGTAATGACCATAGTTCTATTGACAGTACCATATTTTGTTTTATTGGTGCCCTGTTTACTAACAGTGTGGTGTGATGGGAATCTTTTTTATATGAATCCATGTCAAAAGGATTGAGGGACGATGGAACACAAAGCACCCACGCTCAGTTGGGAGAGTGTGTGTGTGTCTTTGTTTTTTATGCTGTTTGCAAAAAAAACCAAAAGGCTTTTGTATATTTTAGGAACTTCTTACATTATCAGAGAATTAAGTAGTAATGGTAAAGGAAACAGATAAAGGCAATAAGCTCCCACAGACAGATACTTGGAGGCATCCACTAACACACTTTCTCTTTGAAGTATTTTCCCAGAATCCCTTCGATGGCTGATGGCCACACAACAGTTTGAGGCATCCAAGAAACTTATCCTTCACTTCACTCACAAGAACAAAATGAACACTGAAAGTGATATCAAAGGAGTGATGCCTGGTAAGTAAAAGTGCCTGGCAAGTCAGGCAGTGGAAATGCAGACAGATGAAACCAATTTTCCCCCTCTTTTTTTAAAAACAAATATCCAAACATGGCATAACTGTCCAAAATTAAATAGTCATATTACCATCTGTAAAATTACCCTATTCATTCAATCATTTTGTATTTGTTGAAAAACTCAGTAGCTGTGTTCAATTACTTGGCTTGTTGAAGAGTACTAGCAATTATATTCTCATCTTTCAGTGCCATGTGGTTTTAGAGATGCTGCATGATTAATTCCCTCATAGCTACAGAGCATGGCACCAGCTTTGTATTTCTGGACCTTGTCTCTTGGGAGTATCAACAAATGAGATTGTGCCTGTTAGTATACAGATTCATTTATATGGTAAAGTGGCAGCCCCCAACCAACAAGTTGTAAGAAATTTCCATTCTGGCACAGATTCTGTTGCAGATCTAAAAACAGTGCCAATTTCCACATCTTGCAGTCTTGCACACCTAGTTAGTTCACTTCAAGTCACTTTGCATTTGAGCCACATTGTATTTTAGAAGTAATTTTTACTGCTAATGGCAGTAAGATCTATTGTGGGGGTGGAATTTAAATCTGGTTGGTTTGGTCAGGCTTTTAAGAAGAGTTAGGCTGTTATTGTTGCAAGATTGTCACTGAAGCACTAATGTTATTGTCCCCCCAGACTGTTTCAAGAAAGGGGACTTTATATGACTCCTTTTGTGTAGTTATAAGAAAGGAGAATGTTTTCTGAGGCTCTTTCATCTCATTGTTACACTTGTCAAATTCTTTTCAGGCTCCCTTTTTACTCTTCAAAGCTCTGGCAGTGCCCATAAATACGTATCTGAACTGTCAGAGAGTCAGAAATCAGGCAGTATGTTTTTAACATACTTCGTAGCTTAACTGTTCTGTGCTAGGGGAAGGTCTGCTTTCTTGGTGCATCTATGATCTGTGCCCATCACAGTACATTTCACCCCTGGGCTGAAAGCTTCTCCGGAACTTCACAAGCATCTGAAATCCTGAATTAAGCCAACTAGCCCGTAAATTTAGTGAAATGTATGGGGTTTTATGCTGGATAGTTGTACCTGAGGTGACTTTCATGGGCAGAGTGAAATCTGTAATACTTTACAGTGAATGAGTCCTCAGGGACTCGTACATAAGCCTAGTTAAGATCTTTATTTTGTTGTTGATGTTTAGACAATGGTGATGTGTTGAGAGTGGCACACCACAGTTTTATACTTGTCTGTGTGCATATAGTTGTACCTTCTGAGTAAAGATCATAGATTATAGTCAGCAAATGTGCCTTATATCTGTGCTAGGAAAATGGTTCCAAGAGTGGTTTTGGGGTTGTAAAACCAAGTAAGGGAATAGGTGGGCACCCATAAATCTGGAAACCTGAATTGTGAACCCTTACACATCCAAGTATGCAGAGAACCAGGCAGGAAATACAGTTTCTGATTCTTCAATTAAATGCTGCCTTGTAATGCACATGGGTCAAATTAAGGGTTCACGGCCAACTGTAAATCTGGCTTATCCCAACTGTCAACTTCTCATATGTGCAACCTAACTTTCTCTCCGCATTTTTCTCTCCTAGGTTTTTTTTTCTATTTTTTCAAATAGAAAGATAAAAACATTCTGCTGCTTACAGCTATAACCTTAGAAGACATTTTAATCTTCAGTTTGTAACTGAAGGTGAACTGTTAAGTTTTAGAATAATTTCATGATTGTCGCTGTGCATTTGTGTAGCTGATTGTCTGTTTTTTGGTGCGTTTTTTCTGGCAACAGTTCTATGGTTGTGAAGCACAAAGGTGATTCATTGCTGCTCATAGTAAACGAGGAATCCTTCCCCTCTGTGCAGGACTAGGAGCGTTATCCTGTCTCTCTGGGCTGCGGATTTGGGTGTCTAGATGCATCCATACACAGCAGCTGTCACTAAATGCAAAGGATAACATCAGTGACAAGCTTAACTGAGATAGTATTAGGATAGCGATAATGTCTATTCCTGCCTCCCACCAGTGTCAGCTCTGTCTTTTCTCCACCCCCTTCTTAGTTTTTGTTCTGTTTTTAAACGATATTGGCGACCCCATATGTTTAGTTTTATTTTCTGCAGATCTTGAAACAATGTAACAGAGAATTTTGAAAGCATTTTTCTCTGTTTGGTTTTTGCTTTTCTTTTTGTTTTTTTGCTTAGAGAAGTTGTGAAGGGTAAGTAGAGTGAGTGAGTGGGGATGTCAGAGAAGTCCTAGTTCTGAAGTGTCAAAAGAATCTTATCCAGAGATCTCCGACTATACAGGTCAGTAAGCAAAGGAAAACAGTCTTGATTTAGGTTAGGAAATGTGTATAATAAAAAGGAAACATTGGCTGATCAATTTAGATTTCACTGCAGTAAAGCAGACAGTCTCTCAGCACTAGTATGGGGTAGATATTCTGTCTTTCCATTTTTTCCATCCTGTCTTAATTGCTCTGTGTCTTCCAGCTGGAAAAACTGAGAATTGCTTCATTTTCAGCTTCATTCTGTTTCAATGTACCCCCGCTTAATGCTGTTTTGCTTAGCACTATTACACTCATTTTAAATTGATACCTGATTTCACTTAGCGCTCAGCGAGTTTCATTAAAACACCTGTGGTCGCCATCTTGGATCACTAAAAACAATTGTGGTCACCAACTTGGGTCATCAAATACTTTCAGTTTCATTTAACACTGTTTTTCAGGAACCAATTAAGAATGCTAAGCAGGGCTTGCCTGTATTGACACATCACATTGTCATAATAGCCCTGCAAGAAAGAATTACATGATATAGCCAAGTGATAAACTATTTCCTTAGCTCCCTTTTAGCTGAAAAGTGTACTTGAATTCAACTTATAGGTTTCAGTCAGTTTTGTATACGTTGTATCACAAAGTATTTCAGCAGCTACTTGAGTCGCATTGCATACCCTTTTGAGGCTACAGATTGTTGGTCCCCCTTTTTTTTTTTAACCGTAGAAAATTGGTGTTGAAAGGGACCTCAGGAGGTCATCTAGCTCAACCCCTTCCTCAAAGCAGGACTAGCCCCAACTAGATCATCCCAGCCAAGGCATTATCTAGCCAGGTCTTAAAAACCTCCAAGGACAGAAAGTTCACAGCTTCTATAGGTAACCTGTTCCAGTGTTTTACTACCCTCCTAAGTAAGTGAAACTGTTTTTCAGTGAGGAAAAACTTAATCTTGAATTCCAGCCTAAACAGTGAACAGACTCTGAGGTCTTTCAAAGATTCATGTTATTTCAGCTACTTGGTGCAATTTAACAGCTGCCCATTTGCTGACAGTGCTGCAGCTAAAATTGCTTCATTTAATCTAAATGCAAAAGTGCATTGCTGTGTAGTAAGATAGCTCACAGAAGGAAAAGAGGTGGAATGGATTAAGCACACACATACACCCTGAGAAGTTGATACAATTGGAGCTCATGGGAGGAACAAGGAACTTTGACACATTTTCTAGGGATATCTCGCTGAATCAAAGAATGGAGTTTTGACAGTGATCCTGTCCCCACCTGTACATGTGTGCAGATATGGATGCCCAACCTCACAGCCAACTATGTCCAAAGCAGCTGACCAATCTGGGAAGAGCAGCAGGGACATCCGGCCCATTGATAGGGAGGTCCTTAAACGAAAGGTCCTGTCGCACCTAAAACTAAAATTTGACTAATGAGGAACAGTTGCTATTTTATTGCTTCAGATGATTGTTGCTGTTTGCTGCCATCTTCTCATTAACTTTGCCCAAAGATGGACTATGGTGTTCATTTCTACGCAAGAAGCCAGAATTCTTGTGGGTGATATCTTTTATTGGACCAACTACATGGTTGGGATAGATAAAGACAAGCTTTCAGGCACCCTACCTCATTTTTCTCTGAGCATCAGAATAAAGGGAAAAATCTTTTTTTTTACAGCTATTTTACTGTTAATTGCTAGGCAGACACCATGATGTTTGCCCACAACAATTTATTTTTTGGGGTTTTTTTTCCATTTATACTTTTTTATGCATATTAGAAATCTGGATATAACATTTAGAGCTAATCTGAATATTATTGAAGTGTTAAAATCTGTTTAATAAATGAAAAAAATCCAGTACGTATTATCATAACAATTTTTAAATGTTTTCAATAAAATGTTAAAAAAATCATTTGGACAAAGAGAACTGTTTTAGCAATGTTGACTCAGAAAAATGTTAACTTTTGTTTTTTGATTGCAAAAACATTTGTTTGTAATTTCTACCCTCTCTAATCCAAGTTTTTTCCTTCTGGGAAGCAAGAAGAGACTGATATTTCAGTGCAGTTGAAAGACAGAGTTGCTTTACCCAAATAAAAATATAAATCACAAAGAACTATGCGGAAGAAGGATCCATTTGAGAAAGGCAAGAACTGGGAGGCTTGCTGAAGGATTTTGACACTAATCCCCTTGTGCCCTTTTTAAAGAATGGTATCCTGTGTTAAATAATTCTTTTTCTGGTAATTTTGTATATTTGAGATGAAGGACAACATCCTTAGCTAGAGTAAACCAGGTTCTACTTCAAATTAGAATGCAGCCTTATCTTTGTTTTTGTCTGTATGCTATTTGGAAATCTAAATCAGTAATTATCTGAGTTTCAGACCTGATGCTTCCATGGAAACCTGCCCTTGTTTGCATCTCATTGTCTTTCTGTACATAAGAGACATTTTAGAAACTTCTTGATGGAAAAATAACTGCTTGACCATGTTGAATAGGAAATCCCACTTTTGCTGATCTCTGGATGAAAAACTAAACAGGATAACACATGTTGACATTCAGGACACAGATGTTCATTTCCAAGATAGGGTCAATTGGTGTATGGGAGTCACAAGAGTGTAAAGGAATAAATGCAGATAGAATTAGCCATTAGATAGGAACACATAGGGATATGCAGTATATTCATGTGGTACATCATAGCTCAGGAAACGGATGGTGTTTGGTGTCAGAATACCATTTTGCCCCATTGGGGGGGTCATTTCTGAAGCAGAACAGCAAAAAAGCTTATGAAACATGTATACGTACCATATTCACTGCAGATATATTACTGTGGTGGTACTGTGATGACATGCAACATACTTGTCCTGATTTCTGTGATGAAAGCTGTGACTTTAAGAAAGGGGCTTTTATTTATTTATTTGTGTTTTGGACAAAAACAGAATTATTTTACCTTGCCTGCTACTGAGCAAAATGCTGCCATGATTTTTTTTTACACATTTAGTTCTGTTTTGATCTTTTGCTCTATATTCCGAGTGATGAGCAATAACTGGGTGTGAGTAGCTAGGCTTTTGCTCATGATCAGCAAAAGTACCAGGGGGAAGGGATGATGGGTTCTAAATATAAAGAATAGTAGGGATGAAGAGCCAGAGCAAACGCCCATAAGAACATCCATTTTATGAGACAGTAAAGCAGTGATTTTTTTTTTTCAATTGGGGTGCCACAAGATGCTTATAAGGGTGTTGCAGTGCCCAGTCCCTGTGCCAGGAGATAAGTAAGGCATTTGCTTCTCCCCCACAACCTGCCCCAGAGTTCCATGGACAAGAGGCGACCCCTGGTGACCCCTGTGTCAGTCGGTCTAAGCATCGTGCTCTGCATTGGGTGGGTACGTGTGCAAATGCAGAGCCGCACTTTTCAGCCTTACTTGACTTGTCTTCCAGATCCTTGTACACTCCCAGGGCCAGTGGGAGGGGGCTATGGGGCCAGTTGGCTCTGGTCCCCAGTGCAAGAGTCCTTGGAGGAACAGCCCTCATGGCAGAGTTACCCCACTTGGGATGAGGAAGGGGGTCCCCCATATATTCTGTTGATCACCACTTTCCTGTAACCCATGCCCCCTTAAGCCTTGTGTACAGCCTGGCACCTCATCCCTGCCGGTATGGTGTCTCCAGGCTCTGTCCATTTTGGCCCTAGGCGTAGCTAAGGCCAGAAACTAGCTCACCCATTTCCTGCCCCAGGGGTGACCTGGACCCATGTCCTGGTGTTCTGGAGTCTAGGTGGGAACAAATGTGCCAGGGCCAGGCAAAGCTGGGAGCATATTATATTATAATATAGTAATGCAGTTACTTGTTAATAAATAATGTTACAATTTTCATACTTCATTTACATTATTTTTTAAATGGGGTGCTGCTAAATTCTGAAAACTGAGAGGAGTGCCTTGGGTCTAAAAAGGGGGAGAACCATTGTAGTCAAATTAAGACTACCTGATGCTTCCCTCTGCAAGACCCTGTTTTCAGTTGCTTATAATTTTCCCCAAGTTTGAATAATTTGGGCTGAGTATCAGTCTCAGGCTGATTCTTTTTTGGAAGTTTCAGCTAAAACAGTTAAGCCATTTCTGAATATGAGATTAAGGAAAAATGCATATGTAGTACAACAAACCCCATTTAGCTGAACATCCCTAATGCTCAAGTATCTTGGAGCTTGGACTTGAAATTTGGCAGTAGCCAGAGGGCTAACCCTTTTTGCCAGGGTGAAACACTTTTCCCTTCTCTGAATGTCCATCTGAATTATAAACCTTTGAACCAATATGGCTTGCATGTGCTCAGGAGATGCTCACTGGAACTTCATAGTTAAATTCTCTGTGGATACTCTGCATGAGCCCCTGCTTTTTCATGTGCATGTGCCATCCCTACGCACACTCAGCAGACTTGCTTGAGCAGGGCCCTCAATGGCTCTTGTGGTCCCAAGCACTGGAAACAAGGGGAGGAAGATTGCCTTTCTCCTTTGTTCTGTTGTTCGCCCCTTCCCCTGCCCTTTGCTCTCAGTGCTCCCCTGGCTGATGCTCAGACACTGAAGGAGAAGAGAGGAGAGAGAAATGCAATGATGTATTTATGTGGGGAAAGATTGTTTTCTTTGCATGTCAGGAGACAGGAACTGGAGGGATTAAGGAGGTGGGAGCAGACAATGGGATACAGTTGACTTAGGGGCAGGGATGGTAAGAATAATTTTAAGGAATATGGAGGGGGTGGGGGTGGGAACGGAGAAGGAGCAGAGACCAGGGGTGGTGGCTGTGTAGGCTGCTGCAGAGGACAACAAGAGTTGGAACGAGGACCGATAAGAGGTTTCAGAACCAGGCAGTGAGTCTAGCATTCTCCAGATGATAGCAAAAATAGCTACAAAGCTGTTGGCAAATTCTTCTTATCATGCCTGCCCCACATACTCTGTCCGCTAGTGCTACCGGTAGCTCAAGTGGGAGGGATGAAGCTCTGCTCATATATATCCAAACCCTGCATGTGGGGATTAATTTTGATTCCAGACATTTTAATTAGGAATGTCTTCAGTTTTAAATGTAGAAAATATGCCTTAATTTTTTAACGCAATAAATGTTAGATCACTTGAATCCTTGCATTGCTTATGCAACCTTTATTTGGCCTCCTGGCATGCATGTATTATGATACAGTTTTAAATAACATGATTACACCCTATTTTTTCCACAGGACCCATGCCTAACTCAGTGCATAGGATGGATGATGCTGTGGGAAGAAAGCTGTTGTCTGTAGGATCCCTACCTCATTTGTTGCAGAAGTTGGAAGGTGTGTAGTAAAACGAGGCAGGGGACTGCAGGGAGGCAAAAGATGGTTTTGTGGCTAAAAAAGTTGAATTCCACCCTGAAGAATTTGGATTCTTTCCCTGTGCCCATCACAGCTCCTAGGTGATACTGGGCAAATCATTCCAGATTTTTCATAGCTGCTCACCTATGTTGTATGTTGCATTTTCTGGTTACCTACCTTGAAATATTGGAGCTTTCTTTGCAGAAGTGCTGAGCATTCACAGCTGCATATTTGGGAATTATAATGTAGGTGTGTAAAGTGTTATTAAATGCTAAGTACTTTGAAAAATTACGGCATGAATATCTCAAGCGAGGTTCCTGAAATTAGGGGATCTTTCTCCTTGATCCCTTTTCTGTTTGAGTACCCTGTCTGTGAAATAGGGATAATCTTCCCCTGCTCAACTCACAGGAAACTTGTGGAGATTATTTAATTTATGTTTATGTAGCATCAGATATTCAGAGAGCACCATATACCTGTTCATGCAGAAATCAGTAATTTTGAGGGTTTGCCTGGCTTCTGTTAAACAAAACTAGGACCACCCACTGAATAAGGAGAATAAGAAATACTGAATAGTTGCCCATTCACCAAATAGGCAGGAGTCCAGCAGGGGGAGAAAATAGCATGTGATCACATCATTCTGAACTGTATCATAATGCAGGTACACAAGGGTGCCTAATTACTGTTGACCAGGTGAGCTAATACTGGTTCTTCCAATCACCAGTTTACTTGATTATACTTAACCTTAATTATGTTCCTTTAACACATTTTATTTTTAAATTAAGTTTACTGGAGAGAGGTTCCAGAGATTAGGAGAATGGTGGTAAGAAATCGGGATACTGAGCTCTAATCCATTCTGTTCCACTGACTGACTTGGATTGACAAACGATCCCTTAATCTCTCCCTGTTTCCTGCAGAATGGATGCTGTAAGAATTAACTAATTCTGTGTGGTGCTTTCAGTACATCTGTGTGTTGAAAAGTGTTCAGTGTTATTGCGACTAACATCTACTAGAGGCCATCCCTAAGGGATGCTGGCAATTTTGGCTGCTTTTTCTCTGGGCTTTGATTGATTAGCTATGTCTGCTTCTCTTTGTAACAAGGTGGTAATGAAGAGGTAGATAAGCATGCATTTTAGTTCGGTAGCAAAGGGCTTGAGTGAATTTGATCTGAAAGCAGTACTTCTGAAATGTAGAAGATCCCATGAGAATTCAACTGTATCAAAGTCTGTGCAGAAAAATTGGAGGCTTTGAGAGGTTCATTCTTTTTTTTCTCTCTCTCTCTCTCTCTCCCTCACATAAAACCTAAATTTCCTAATGAGAAGCTGTATCTTCCACTAAGGTTATATAGAGTTTTCTTGTTAATAGGTTTCCTCCTGTGTCCCTGAGTGGAAAGTTTACAAAGAGTGATGCCTCTGAAGTGCAGAAAAGCATCTAATGGGGCTGTGAGTTGATTAGCAGAGAGGGATTCTTCTGCATACTCAACATCCTTTATGTATCTGTAAGGACTGAAATGCTTAGTGAGAGTTATTTTTAATTAGGGGATTCAGAACAGAATCACCAAGTAAGCATTTGTGTTCATTCTGCACCAAGAGCTCTGTGATGACACTTGTGAAGAGCAATTGCTATCTGAAATGGAACCTGCTTGATTGTTAAGAAGCCAGCACTGACTTAGGGCATTTGTACATGATCTGGGGGTTTAATTCTCCCTACGTAGAAGCAGAGGTTTTTTAAAAATACCACTTCAGTTTGGGGCATAGTAAAATCCCCGTGTTGTGTACACCTGTGTCAGAGCCTGATCCTTACCTGCCTCTCCAGCAGCAGGGAGGGGAGAGTGAGCTGCTGGCGGGCAGAGCAGTCCCTGAGCTGCAGGGGGGGAAGGGAAAGGGGGCCAGTGCTTCCCTCCACGGCAGCAGTGGCACCCACTTGCAGGTACCTGGTTCGGGCAGTCCCAGGGGGCACCGCAGCTGCATAGGGAAGCATAGGGCCCTTGCACAGCTCCGGTAAGTTCAGCTGGGTGGGGGGGAGAGATCAGGCTCTCTGCTTTT